GGAAGAGAAACCAACTAGTCATTTTTGGATGTACAAACTAAGGCATTTTAGAAAAGGGAAGAAAATCTAACAGATTCAGATTCAACAAGGTTTATTTCTGGGTCCTGCTCTTAGGTCACAACAGCCCCATGTAACACTACAGGCTTGGGGAAGAGTGGCTTGAAAGCTGCCTGAGGGAAAAGGACCTGAGTGAGTTGGTTGACAGCTGGCTGAATATGAGCCAGCAGCATGCCCAGGTGGCCAAGAATGCCCATAGCATCCTGGCTTGTATCAGAAACAGTTTGGCCAGAAGGGGCAAGGAAATGATTGCCTCCTGTACTCAGCACTGGTGAGACCGCACCTTGAATACTGTGTTCAGTTCTGGGAGCCTCACTCTAAGATGTGGAGGTGGTGGAGCATGTCCAATGAAGTACAACAAAGCTGGTGAGGGGTCTAGAGCACACATCTTCTGAGGAGTAACTGAAGGAATTGGGCTTGTTTAGTCTGGAGAAAAGGAGGCTCGGGGGGACCTTACTGTTCTCTACAACTGCCTGAAAGGAAGTTTTAGTGAGGTGGGTGTCAGTCTCTTCTTCCAAGTAACAAGCGAGAGGATGAGAGGAAATGGCCTCAAGTTGTGCAAGGGGAGGTCTAGTTTGGATATTAGGAAAAAATTATTCATTGAAAGGGTTGTCAAGCATTGGAACAGGCTGCCCAGCTTAGTGGAAGGGTCACCATCTCTGGAGGTATTTAAAGGATGTGGTGCTTAGGGACATGGTCTAGCGGTGGACTTGGCAGTACTGGGTTAATGCTTGGACTCAATGATCTTATGATTCTATGATTCTATTAATTTTAACTGGAAAAATAGCAAGCCTCCTAACTTGACTACATCCCAAGATTTTAATACCTTCTCAACCAACAAGAAGTGAACATAAAAAACTATGGTAACAAAACACTTTACTAAAACATCATGCATTGAATAGTTATCTCAACACTCTCATGTTCTATGCAAATAATGCAAATACTGTCACGCATTTTATATTAACATTATATAGTAATCCTCACAAATCCAAGAAGAGCAGCATCCCTGTAACAGACAGTTAGCCCTTTTGTTCCATTCAGCTTTTACGTAAGGCAAATGTTTCATTACAAAAATGTACTCTGTATTCCCAAAAGTGGCGAGAAGAGTTACACCTTCTCAGTACTATTAAATCAGATAAGCTGTGTGACCAGATCCTTCAGGGACATTTTTTTAAATCCTAACTTAAAAAATAATACATTGAGGAGTTAAGAGTTGTGGAAAATGTATTCATTTTTCTGTACTCAAAACTGATCTCTTGTTGAAAAAAACTGAGTATGCTGAAATGCACAACTCTAACCAACTCTAAGACACTACCAGCTCTTCTGCTTTTCACACTCTTTCCTACTAAATGAGAAGCAAGGGAGTAACTTTTCAGAGTAACTTTTCAAATCTATTCACAAAAACTGGTTTAATGATCATCTGACCCAGAAAGCATAAAAATGTTAGGATCGTGCACCACTTTTACACATGAATTGCCCCCAAATTGCTGAAATTCTTTAGTTAGCTAATACAAAATTTTAACAATAAGTATACATATACAGCAGTATCGTGTTTACAGTTCTAGTTGTATTTACAATCTTTTTTGTAATGTTTTTTCATAGGAAAATATAATTTCTTTTTTCTTTTTTTTTGCAAAAGACCACTAATACTGTTTTGATTGTGTTAAAAGCCATGATCTGAGGCTTAAGCTGCAAAACCTAATTTCATTCAGCTGATACATATGGTTAGCACAGTTGTTTTCTTTAAATGAATGAATTTGCCTCACATGCAATCATCCACTTTTCTTAAATGACCTTTTCCAGCAGGATATCCTTATATTTTAAAGAATGAATTATTCATTTACTATATTCTTATTCAAAACAACCTACTGAATTGAGAGAATTATGAAATCATCTTCTAATTTATGCAAACACAAAGAAAATCATATGTTGAGGAAAATACTGTGCAGCAACTTAAAGCATTAGCTTGGGAAGCTACTTTGCAAAAAGGAGAGGAATGGGCTATCTGAATTGGTAACATTTCAACCTGTACTCATTTGCTCCTCATCAGAGATTTAGCAGCAGCAAGCCAAATGCTTCAGGTAGGCAGGCCATTAGGTGCCTAACAACATACATTCAGTTGGGACAAAATATTTCAAACACAGTAATAAAGAGAGGCGTCATGCATGGGTCACTTGAAATTGCAAACAGACTCCCTGGAAACAATATCCAGAACGGTATGTTTTATGAAAACATGCCTGAGGACCTTATTCCCAATGGCATGGTGGCTACAAATTTAGCCCCCAAAGTAGCAGTAGCAAATGGGATTAACAGAGTATATCACCATCTTCCTACTTGGTAGCTATATTCAAGTAATTAGGAACACTCCTGAACTAAAATAAAAGCCACAATCAAGAAGTATAGCAAAACTGACCATGAAGGGTAACTTTTTTTTATGATAATTCAAAACCACAAACTGCTCAGGCAAGACATGTTTTAATGCCACTCACTAGCAGCCAACGTTCAGGGAAACAACCCAATATACTGTCTTCTAATGGGAGACTTCACCCTTTGGCCATCAAGTCATCCTGACAGAAGACCAGCAGCTGCGCTGATCCAGAAGCCAGGTACCACCATACTTCTTGTATCTCAACACCCAGAGGAGATGACCAAGCCAATACATCTGTATGTAAATTAATAGTTATTCTGCTGAGATACAGATTTCCTGGGACTGCACGGTTGAACTGGTCCTGCCAGCTGGGATAAGGCTGGCAGCAGGCACAGAGGTGGAAGTGAGACCCACAAAGGATTGCAGGATTATTTCTCTGAGAACAAGAAGAGTCCAGGATGAACATTAGGCTGCATTACGCTGTCCCATCTCACAGACCCTCTACCCTATGAGAGAGGGAGCTAGGAGAAGCCAGGAAGCATACATTTATGCTCAACATTTTTCCATAAATCAAACCAATAGCCAGCTTGCACCTTGGGTACAATAGCAATGAATGGCAAAAAGACATTTCTGCAGGTTACATGGAAAGAATCGTGATTAAAGTACTGTTGCTAGGCTGTATCAGTCTGACCCACTGCACCCACTAAAGGCAGCAGCAAAAGTAGACGTGCTACAGCAGGGCTCTGAGCCAAGGGCAGATACATCTGCAAAGTTGGGGTGGGAGGTGGAGAGATGCTGTTAAACCCAAAAGCTGGGCTGCTCACCCTCTGGCAAAGCTGTGCATTGGGGAAAGGTAAACACCTGCCTGAGCACCTGGATAGCCATATCCCTACAAACACCATATATGCAGCTATTTTCTGAATAGGAAACTTAAAGAAGATTATTCTTCAACAAAACAAATAAATATTCTTTCTTTCATCATCAGTTGTCAAAAATAAGTGCATGAGCTGAGGTTACTCCACATCAGAAGAAAGTATTAATATATTATTACCATTATTAAACACTTTTCCGGATGTGGCATATTCCTGCTGAAAATACTTATCCTGCTCTTCAGACACAGGCAAGTAAAAAGAGACACTTCAACAGTCCTCACAAACTTAATAAAAAGAAAAGAAACAATAAAAATAAAGAACCCCAAAGTGATAAAATATCTTTCCCTGTCTTTCCTCCATGTTTTTTACCACATTCAGTATATGTCTGCATCCCCAAAGCCCTGCTGCTCTGCCATCCCAGGGCAGCATCTGGCCCTGATTCCCCACACTGGGACTGACCTGGACCCCCACCTCTCATGACCAGGGCCCAGTCATCACAAGCTTGACCTCAGACCTACCTCATCATCATGATACTGCCTTAAGATCAGGACACTTGGTTGGACCTGGCCACCATCTGTGGGTCTGCCCTGCTAGTTCACATGGGTGTGTGGGGCTGAGCCCTGACAGATGTCAGATCAGCTCAGCTCCCAGCTCACCTTTCCCTAGGGAGCAGCTCCACGTTTACTGCTCCCTGGAAGAAGACATTTCACACATAGTGTAGACATTTGATAACTCTTTGCTGGTAAAACTGACTTTTTCTTTGCATAAAAGTAAATCAAACAGGAGTATTGCATCAGGCATGATTTGATGAACTCCTTTTCCCTCCCCACAGCTCAAATGTATTTTTCACAGCATCTACTGTTAAGACTCAATTCCTTACCTCTGAAATCTCCAAACATCCTGGTGATTTCATGAGTCTTTGCTTGGTAATGCAATAAGCAATAAGGCTCCCAGCCTGAATGACTACTCAGGCACATTTTTCCATTAGAGGTCTTGTTTAAAAGAGAAAAATTCTCCTATCCTCTCCCTTGCACATTCAGTTCCTCCTGGGGAAAAATGTCTAAATCAGATGCACTGCTTAGCTCACTGCAAGCGACTCCAGTTTAGCCTTGGCAAACCATTTAGAGTAGCTTTCAAGCAATCAGAGTGAGACACAAATGTAAAAGATGTCTCCAGTGTCTATTTTAATAGAAAGACCAGGACACTCTCCACTGAGCATGGATCCAGCTCTACAACATATAATTTTCAGCAGGAGGTATGTCTAGGGAAACAGATGCAGATGCCGTACACATTGACTGGTATGTGTACCTAAGGCTGTCCTGTGGGGCAAATTGTTCCATTTGTGCAAAAAAAAAAGTGTAGAGTGAAGAATGGATCTGTGCCACTACGCAGTCCTGCCCACTCGGAGCTGGCTGCAAAGGCAGGGCTGCAGTTCCCTATGCCAGGAGGGGAACGTCCTGACAGCTACAAACACCTTTTCTTAAATGCCTGCACAGTGCAAATGCAGGAGTCTATCAAGGGGGCCAGGAAGAAGATGCAGATTTTCTTCTCTGAACAGAAGTACTTTGACTTTTAGCTTGGCGCTGCAGAATTGTCCCCAGCCCTGTAACAGCAACATTTGGAGGGCAGGTTTGCAGGCCTGCATCTTTCAGAAAATAACAGTAATAATAAAATAACAGTAGTAATAAAATAACAGTACTTCTGTAGAGAAGGGATGCAAAGAGGTGAGTGTGAATGGGAGATGAGAGTTTTGAATGTTGTTGGGCAGAAATGGAGATTAAAATAACCCTTAAAAAAGTCTGTAACATGATGGATCTAGAGTTAATTGTGAGTTTTGCTGGACTTCAGAGAAGCCCTGTTAAAGTGGAGCATTTCAGTTTCTTAGTTTGAGCAGGGAAGGTGCTAGAGCACTCATCCATGGGTTTCTGTCACTAAGCGATTCCAGTAGCTCAACTGCTCAGATGGTTCTACTTCATGGCACATCACTATTTTCTTAAAGCGAGAAACAGAGAACGTAATCCTCTCTGGGAAAAAAGTCTGCTCTGAATGAAGCTCCTCCAGGTGAATTTTTAGTTTGGCAAGGCACAGTCCTATGAATACATCCTCCAGTTTAATGAATGAAATGCTCTCTGAAATATTATAGATCTGACTAGCAACATCAGTGGATAAAACGTAGCCAGTCCCGGAACAAAACGGCGGGTAGGTCTTTCTCGGATACTCCTCTTTACTCACATACCACTTACTCCTTCTTCTCCGTATGGGGAACTCATGCAGTTTTAAAAAGCCTGTGAAGAATCTAGTGGTTCTCTTTTTCCTTAGAAGAAGCTCAGTGAGGTAAAAAACATTGACAAACACATCTGTGTCGGTTTTCATCACAAAGCTGGACTGGTTACAAAATCTGTGAATCCATTCAATTCCCATCATGGTCTTCAAAGTCAAATTGTAATACGTGTCTGTAAAATTCTTTTGAATAATGTCTTTGTACTTTTGGCTTTCAGCAGTGATATCAGCCTGCTGCCTTAGATTCACAGTGCTTCCCAGGAGGAAATATGTCACCAGGCGCTTGCCAGCAACTGTTCTCTCCTTCCCCCAGGTTTGCCGGATGGCCATCCTGGCATCAATGTGGTGGTATGAGGATGTCACAAGCAGGACGAGGAAAGGTGGGTTCTTCTGGCAATCTGCATCTGGGAGCTGTGAGAAGTTTCCTTCGATTCTCCTGAAAGTCTCTATGGGGAATATGTAATCCTGGCTGTTTTCACAGAATATACAGAATTCAGTCAAATCGTAAAACCCCCAGAGGCCAGCACAGCTGAGCCCTATAAGGCAAACAATCAGCCTGAATTTTCTGAAATACACCTGAAAGAAACAAGGAAAAGCATATTAAAAAAAAAAAAAAAAGAAAGAAAGAAAGAAAAAGTAATACCTAGTTCTTTTCAAAGAACCAAACTGTCTGCATAGGAATTCGAAGCCAGGTCGTATCTAATTTAAATCTCAGGGCATTCACCCACATGCATTTCTCTTAGTATCATTCCCACAAGATGTTCTGCCAGAGATCAAATTCACACTCTTGTTTACTTGAATCTGCCCCCCAAGCCAGCATATCCTCAGAAATCCACAAAAACATGGCCACTGACACCAGATTAGCCTGGCTGAGACTTCAGACCTCCTTCCCGTTTTCAGCATCTTACAAACCATGACTTAGATCCACCAGGGCTCTCACAAGCCAGAGGGTGGAGAAGCAGCAGATACATGCCCATGCCAGACTGGAGAGAATAACAGCAATAGTTGGAGGTTTTTTTAAATACCATGTTTCTCCATGTGTTTGAAAAGTGCTTGTGTCCCAGAGCAAGCAAGTGCTGTCCAACTGGCAGACTCAGCCAGGTTCCTCCCATCTTCACCTTCTTCATGTCCTGTGGGGCTCTTGCACTGACCCAGAAACTGCTCCTGATCTTTTTGCTGGAGGGGCCATGAGTCACATATTTGAAGTTAGGTCAGCTGCTCAGGAAAAAAAACACAGCAGTGGGTCAGATTATTTAGATATTTCACCTTTTGCAGAGTTTAGGTGACACACGTGGTGGTGCTGAGTTGAGAAGGGGTTGTCCGTACTCACCTCTCCTTTCTGCATGAAAGGGATTCAAACAGTAACAATGATGGGCATTCATTCATCCTTGTAACAGATTAAAGTGCTGTGTATCTGGTTACAAATAAATTTTGAGAGAGAGAAAAATTATCAAAGCAAATCCAAAAAGAGACAAAATATCATACACATCTCCATAAATTAACCTGGTGAGAAAAATATAATGCTTCAGCTACCCATTCCATTAACCCACAGGTCCACCAACTACTATTTTAGAGCGCTAGGGTGGGGGAATTTTACCAGGGGAATAAGCATTCATCCCTGCTCCTCCCGTTCTTTAGGAAGAACTGGAAGTGGCTTCCTATCTAAAAATAGAGAAAACCAACTTTACAATCCTCAGATCTGTAGATTTCATGGAAAATCTATGCCTTCTGACTGTAATGTTCTGCCTAGACTCCCTAAAACCATGTTAGAGCCCCCTTTTTTGCTCGAATTCCCCTTTCCAAGCAATGAAAAGCTTTTGAGTTGCAGGCCTAACCTGCATTGCAGGTTCCTGGAACCAAATTCAGGTCATTTCACCCATAAGAATAGTCCAACTTCAGCTGGTGTTCTCAAAGGCATGAAACAAACAGAATTGGAGTCCTGACTTACTGAAATTCCTCCCAGTTAAATGCATTTTTGCAGTGATTAGTGAATTTTGAAAATATTTCTAAAGTTCACATTTAAATTAACCTTCTCTTTAAATACAGTATTCTGCAGATCTATTTTTTATTGAATGTATACCTCATAGTAGTCTTGTGGTTAACTTTAAAATTGCTTTAATTAAATACATAAGTAAAGTTGTGTGATAATATACATATGCATACATATATATATACACACGCACACAAAAAAAAAGATTATACAAAATCTGCTGTGCATCTGTTCATCTTCAGTGGCCTGGGAGGAAGCACATGAATACCCTGAAAATAGTGTTTTCAGGAACGGATGATGTTCTGGAGTCAACAACAGAGCTGCAGAAGAGGTTCACTCCTGTTGCCAGCTCTCACAAGACTGTTTGAGGGTCTGGCTTTTCTCTGTCACATGAATTCCAGTATTATGGGGTGCTGGTTTTGCATGGGGTAGAGTTAATGCTTTTCACAGTAGCTGGTGCCGGGATGCGTTTTGGGTTTGTGCTGGGAACAGTAGTGATAATTCAGGGATGTTTTAGCTATTGCTGACCAGTTGCTTACACAAAGACCTTTTCTTCTTCACCCCACCAGCAAGGGCTGAGGGTGCACAAGGAGTTGGGAGGGGATACAGTTCGGACAGCTTACCCCAACTAACCCAAGGAGGGATATCCCATGTCATATGGGGTCATGCTAAGCCTGTGAAGCAGGGGGAAGAATGAAAGGAGGGATTTTAAGAGTTTGCCTTCCCAAGTAACTGTTATGTGTAATGGAGCCCTGTTCTCCTGGAAATGGCTGAACACCTGCCTGGCCATGGAACATGGTGAATGAATTCCTTGTTTTGCTTTGCCTGCATGTGCAGCTTTTGCTTTACCTATTAAACTGTCTTTATCTCAACCCACAAGCATTCTCACTTCTACCCTCCAGATTCTCTCTGTTCTCTCAGTGGGGGGTGAGTGAGAGGCTGTGTGAGGCTTAGCTGCCAGCTGGGGTTAAACCAGGACATACGTACAAGCAAAAGTCCTTCAAATATTGAACTAAGAAAGTAAATGAGAGCAATTTTCTGTTAAAACCCATTAAAACTTTTTCAGAAATACTTAAGAGCAAGAACCATAACATACTAATTTTACCAGATTTCAGTAGAATCATACTAATGAGACTTGATCATATTTACTTCTTACTTGTTTCCAGGTTTGGGCCCTGGTAACAGAGCTAAGAAAAATTTAAAAGGTTCCTGTTCTGGACAGCTGGGAGAGCAGCCTCCCAGTGTATGTTCAAGCATGTATTTACCATACTGCCTATCCAGAGCCAGACTGTCTTCCTTTTTCAGTCCATGTATGCAGCATCAAACCTTATATAGGTATATAATCATGCACACACAATGCAAATGTTTGTAAATTTATGTAAATTGTAAAACACATTTTCTAGATTTTGCGAATCACACATATGATATGCATCATTTCACAGCAGGTCCCTGCCTACCATCAATGGGTAGGCAGTGGCCTTGTAAGAAATGCACACTTCCCAGAGTGGAGTCTCATGTGGTTCTGGCCGTGTGAAAGCTGGAAAATACTAGTTTCTGTCATCAGTTTAATCACCAGAGGCAAATTTGGGCTTACCTGGAACTGGTAGGAATGGTGTTCTTTTTAATCTCAGATGAAACATTTGCAATTACCCACAGAGGTATTTGCAAAGGGGATTGGGAGAGAGGGCTTGTGAGGACTCAGATCACACCATAGCACCTTGGGCTTCCCCAGTTTGGTGTCTCAGCTCTCTCTGCCTCCGCAGCCACATGTAGGAGGGAGCCATCCGAATAAGAAAACAGTAATTAAAATGTGCCTGAATTAAAACATCAACTGCTGCACCTCACTCAGGGGACTCTCCCAGCTGCAGCTTCTCACCATGACCCCCAGTCCTGCAGAGCCATGCAAGCCCTGGACCACGTGCAATGGAGAAGTTTCTTACTCCCTGTCCATAAAGACTGTGCCCCATCTGCTGTTGCAATACCATTTCTTCCCTATTTCACTCTTGGAATGGTTTTCCTCAATATAGAATCATAGAACCATAAAATGGCTTGGGTTGGAAAGGGCCTTAAAGATCATCTAGTTCCAACCCCCCTGCCATGGGCAGGGACACCTCACACTAGACCATGTCACCCAAGGCTCTGTCCAACCTGGCCTTGAACACTGCCAGGGATGGAGCATTCACAACTTTCTTGGGCAGCCCATTCCAGTGCCTCACTACCCTCACAATAAAGAACTTCTTCCTCATATCCAATCTAAACTTCCCCTGTTTAAGTTTAAATCCATTGCCCCTTGTCCTGTCACTGCAGTCTCTGATAAGAGCACCAGTTCCCCAAGCTCCCCTCTCCAGGCAAACCCAGAAAATGCATGGGTGAACACAGGTGTCTCTCCTAATGGGCCTGCCTTTAATGTCTCCGCCTTGGAGCTCAAGAAGTGAAGAGTTGCCTCAGATGTCCCTGTGGCCAGCAGGAGCCTGTGGTGTGACTGGTGCAGGTCTGTTGCACAGATACAGCCTTGGTGTCCTAAGGACCCAACCTGAGCAATATATTACAGAGCTGGCATTTACTGAAAGAACACGAAGAAAAAGGTGACAAAGAGACAACCAGCTTCCTCTCACTTAGTTCATTTTTCTTTTAAAATCATCAATTTAATTCTTGATTTCAGGTGAATAGGGAAAACTGTGAAAGTCAAAAATATTTTACGTTAACATGGGCAGGTTGGATACAGCAACTAATTTAGTTGCCGTATCAGGGAATTAAATTATTGGCTCTTTACCCTTGGGATGCTGAGCACCTTTCCTATCCCTCATCCTACTTGCGAACAGCAGGTTCAGAGTCCTGGGTGAAGCAAATAATCTGTCTCCCCCACTGCTTGGGAGAACTGCTATACATGAAGAACGTATGGAAAACAATGGCATCTTTTAAGTTTCAACAGGGCAACATGGCTAGGACTGCATTTAGCAAAACCATCACCATCCAGCCTAAAGTAACTTTCTTTACAAGAGATACAGGCATAGGTTAGGTGTGAAAAGGCCTGTGGTTTCTAAATTACTTGTCACTATATCTTTCCTCATTTGCCTCCATCTGACAAACAATACAGTCTGTGATTCAAGATTTACAGCCTGCATGCACATATCTCCATGGAACAGTCCTGGAGACATCAATATTGAGGGAACAATAAGTATACAGGAGGTGGTCCAGAAAGAAATGGAGACTTAACTAGCAACCAATCTCTTTTCTAGAGGTCACTTTGAACAGCATTCAGAGGTTTTGCATCAAAACAGCATTCAGGGGTTTTTCATCTGGGTTTATAGAGAATCATTTTGCATGATGTTATGCTTGATTTTTCTCTCTGACCTGAGTCAGAAACTACAGTTGGTAATTATCTCAAAACGTTTTCCATCTCCTGTTATTCCAACTGGGAAGTATTTCGAGTAGGGCATTGCCAAAAAGTTACCTTCTTTGTGTCCTAGAGAGCAGCTTGTTTAAACTAGCTGGAGCAGTGTTTCATGGCTCTGCAGATCCAAATGGGGTTTGCATGAAGTCCTGCGACCCAAGCAATGTGGGCTACAGGTGCCAGCAGCCCAGTGCTCCTCTTTCATATGCCTGAAATGAACACATGAACAGAACAAGAAGGGAGTTGAGGTCTGTGATTCAAATCAGTCACACTGCAGCCCTCTACTTTGCAAGTTCCTATTTCCACTACAGGCATGAACTTCCCCCCACATCCTGCCACAGTAAGCAGATTGGCTCCAGGGCCTCTGCTCACACCACTGACCCTTCTGTAACTCCTTCTTGTTGCACAGTGACAGGGCCATGGTACCTCCTGTGATGAAGCCTATTTATTCCATCAAAATTAATCTGACACCTCCTTTAAGCCTGTTAATGAGTGTAATTATCTAAAATGCACCAAGAGATCAAGACTATATGCCGTATAGATTGGGAAAAGCAATCTGGCCTGAGGCAGAGAGAGGTAAGTAGGTCTAGAGTCCCTCTGAGAAACAGATTCAAGATATCGATTTAAAGAAATAAAGTCGTCTTAATTTTTCTGGGGCAAAGCTACAGTCATGCTACTGAGTCCAGTGGACGATCGGCCTTGGCTTTGCATTGGGGTTGCACACATCAGCCAGGGAACAACCTGAACCACAAGTGACCGAAGTGCTTTTGACCATCCTGCTCTGTAAACAGAGACAAAGCAGCTGCCACATGGCAGACCCAAAAACAGAGGCACCATTTAAGTGGGCAAACAGGAGTTACAACCTCAAATACTGCACAGTTAAAGTTGGCAGCTATATTCCCATTTTCCTTGCCCAATAATCAAAAGTAACATGCGCCCTAGTATAAGTACTAGTAATACCTGCTAACTTTTGATTTCCTCAGAATAAAGCCTCTAGATTGCTTTCTCAAAAGCTCAGCAGGACACGAAGAGAGACTAAAGACGCATAGATAACAAGAAATTGTCAAGTACAGCAGGAAGCAATTATTTTTTCCTAAATGCAAGCATTTCAGACAAGCAGTGGCAAGCTTGGAACCCAGAAGCTTTCTGCTATTCCCCCACTCCTGAAGCAGGACAATGCCCAGCACCTACCAGACCTTGTCAGGAACAGCAGAGCCCACTAAGTCCCATGCAGGACTACCAGAAACAGTGATGGTGAACTACGCAAAATGAAGAGTTGCACAGGGACTGCCTTATCCTGCCTTGTCCCCGGGAGCACTGCCTGGCTCACTCTGCCTTGTATACTCTGTGGCAGAATCCCACAGAACCTCCTGAACCCGTGGTGCTGCTTCCAGCTGAAAGAACTGCACATGAACAGCCATTGGGGTGATGAGGCTAAATGCCCCTTCCTGGCACTTTAAAATGCCACTTTTCACTTTGTACAGCAATGTGTATTAACAATGCCTTGCCCAAACCAAACATCAAGACTAGCAGGCAAGAAAGATGGAAACTGGAAAAGGATATGGGGCAAGGGTAAATATTTTTCTGCTGTTCTTACTGTCAGACCAGAGAAAATCTTCATCCTTCTGCTACCTCTCATCAGCCTCTGCTATCAGAATCGTCTCTTCGTATCAGCACATCAGCGAGTCAAAGCAAGACATTGTTCCTCTGCTTCACACATACCAGTTTCTATCATTTAAACACTGAGTTGCTAGGCACTTTATTTACAGCAAAACCTTCTCCCTTTTTTAATTACTTCTTTTTTTTCCCCCTTTTTTATTTTTTTGTTTTTTTTTTCACCCACCCAACCATGACCACTTGCTAATGACATTCACTTGGAAAACCCAAACAGTAACCTTAGACCACAATACAGTTTTGCTCTCAAAACCAGCAGAAAGTTCAGCAGGAGGTGGAGCTGCTCCCATAATGTCACAGAAGTACTGCACCTGAAGAGTCAAAAAGAAATGTACTTCCAGGGACTTTAGCCAAGCCAAGAAAACTTACTTCTACCTTAAAATACCAGTTTGCTTTTCCAAGCTGCCTGTGAAATTCTCTGGATGAATCCTGGCCCTAAAAAGCCCACCACAATGTCAGCTTGGATATGTAGTTAGGCCAAACCCCTTTTCCAGGAAGGAGAAAGTTGTTGCAGTGAGGGTGCAATATGGGCTGTCAGGCACTTTGTTGTGAAGCTCAAACTATCATCACAGACAAACAACAGGACAGAGGACAGGCCCTGGTGCACACGTTTTTTGTCCTTTCTAGGAGCATATTCGGACAGTTTTGACTTAACCCATTTCCACAGGTTTCCAATCACAGCTAGCAGACAACCAGCAAAGAGACACCTGCCTCTGGGGCCCTCCCTCCTTCTCCTCCCAAAAAGGACCTTTTATTGTCTTGGTAGTCACATTTTCCAGTTATTCAGCCTAAAAGTCGTCTCCGTCTGTCTTTGTCTTCCCTTCACCCCCTGTGCAGAAGCGTCCCTTTCCAGGTTTCTCGTCAATGCCAATAGACTCACATCTTCTAATGCTCCCTCTATTCCTACAATACCCCCATTTTCCATTTATCACTGATGCTAATGGACATACTTAACTTTTCAAAAATTGCCTTGTGGATCAGCAATTTGACTACAATTACTACGTTCCTTGCTATATTCAAAACTCCAGATCTCATTAACAATAAGCAATTGTCCACAATGGGACGAATCATAGCAACCTTACCTTGTATAAACCCATGTGGTTCGTTGTGCTGAATAGGAACAAAATTCAACTCACAGCCACCCTCTTATCTTCTTAAACAAACAAAGCAATGAGAAAAATTCTTCTTTAAGCTCTTGCTGTCAATCCTAGGACTCCAAAAGCCCAGTTCTCTGAGCTAGGGAAAAATCATTCTTAGAAATTGTATGTATGTGTCTGTGTTCACCAAAATAAATTATCTGCCCCTGCCCATGGCAGGGGGTTGGAACTGGTTGACCTTTAAGCTCCCTTCCAACCCTAACCATTCTGTGATTCTATGATTCTACGGTTCTCATTTACAAACAGTGCTACACATTGGATTTTTCAATTGGATTAATGAAAAAAAGAAAAATAAACCTGAAAACGGTGTTTCAGACAGGATGAGGCTCTTGCTTGTCTCCCTCAGAAGCAATCTCAAGATACATGAAGAAATAAATAAAAGAGTGGTGTAGAGAAGAGATGGCTATGCAGATTGCACAAAAAAATGTTGAAAACGGGAAAAGTCACCAATAGACATTCCAATGTCACTCTTAAATCTTTAATAAACAGCTGAACTAAGTCTTTGCATGTACATCTTTATTCAAGAAGCAGTCTGGTAGTTTTGGAGGATAACGTTCCTGGGCATCATGTAGTTTCTCCCCAGGGCAGAGAAAGCCCAACGACAGCCACCCAGGCTCCCCTCACCACCCAGCCCTGCAGCAATGCTAACTGGGGGGACAGTGTCCAACTTCTCTCTTGATTAGCAGGGCTAAGGAAGAAAGAAGGGGAACAGAAATCCCA